AATTAGTGGAATTCAGACATGGTTTTTCAAAAAGCTTCCACTTTTGGAACAAGGCCAGTTCTCGTCTCATAGCTCATCTGCACTGTGACCATAATGCACAACAATGTCTAATCATTCTGACTCTCACCAGCTAATTGATTGCCTGATGTAAACAAAGATGCGGCAGTGCTCTTCTCATGCGATGGAATCCATCCAGTAAGCATGCCATTTATGCCCGGAATCATCACACCCTTGAAAAGATCGTTTTTCGTATTTTTCGCTACATTGGGTATTTATCTAACCTCTCCAACTCCCATTACAAATCTTAATGCCATAGCTCCATATGGTCCTATTAATTCGGCGGATAAAGGCATGAGAACACTAGCAGAAGAAAGTAAAAGTACGGAAACCAGCAAAAGGTGCCTGATGCTGTATCGGTCAATTGCTAGTCCGCTGGGTAGAGTGGAAAGCATGCCCCCTGGAACAAGACGCAGATCGGCTTAATCCTAGAATTGTAAGCTATATTTACCTAAGAACGTAGCTCCAACAATATAGCCTTGAGTCTCAATCGGCCATTCATAAGAGCCCTGAATATTCACAAACTTCACGACAAGCGAAACAATCCACCGATGCACATACCCCATAATCGTTTACTTTTCCACCCCTTATTCGGGAGCACGAAGTCGTTGTGTTTGCTTTGAATGTAACGCCTTCATGATCATAACTGCTACAAGAGGAATTATTTCGTTGTGGCTAAGAAGAACAATCACTTAACCTTGAAAGACTGTGGTCTTCAGTGTCCAATGCTAGAGCAGTGGAATTAATCATGCAGCTAAGAGTGATTCCTAAATTTTATAAAAGATTGGAATAAAAACGCTTCAAATCTACTCGTAAAAGGTGTTCAACTTCAGAATTATCAAAGGGCATAAAAATGACTGCTGTCGAACATGGACGAAGGATATGTATAAACTAGACAGTTGAAGAATGGCAACACTCAAAGTAACAAAAAAGTATAGTAATAACATCTTTAATTCCAAAACATGATTTAACGTCATATATCAATCATCTAAAACAAAATTTCTTCTACCCATTATAGGCATACCTATGTTCGACGTCATCACAGCCATAGAAAAGTATCCAACCATGAGCAAGAGTATCACATGGAACCGACGGCTACGATGATGCACGAAGGCTGAAATTAATAGCGCAGTCCTTTTATA